GGCTCCGCATCGGTCGAGGCTCCAATCGGTTCAATTTCCCTAATTTTCCTTAGAGAAAACTGGTGTTTCTGTCCACAAAAGTAATCCGGGATGGTCACAGGACTTTTAGTCTAATTTTTTTTTGTCCGTCAATATTTTCGTCCCATGTATTTCGTCCACGGAATCTCGTCTGCGTGAAATTTGTCGCCCAGCACATAGTTACACGCTATCGTTCGTCCAGCGTCTTTAAGTCACATTTGTGTTGTCCAGTAAGTTGAGTTCTGCTTACAAAAGCAGAAGTTAATGCAAACGTTTTGTTGCAACTATTCGTACTCTGCGGATGCATGTGTTGCATACAAATCGAAATGCAGGCGCATTGGCTTTCTCTCCGTTCTCAGTGATGCGTGCATTGGGAAACTGCAAGCACAGGGCCGGATTAAGGGGGTGGCTATATGGGCCGCGGCCCATGGCGGCAAATCTATGTGGGGCGGCAAATTTTGCAATTTTTTTAAATGCAGGTATAAAAAAAAATTCGGATTTAGAAAAAAAATTACAAACGAGGTAAGGCGACAAAATCTCTAATTTTCTGAGAGTATAGTAATTTCTACTTTTGTCGTCTATCAGTGATACAAGAGACAGCACCTTTAATTTGTCGAGTTAAGAGAGAAACCAAGCACGCAATTTGGCCTGGAGAGAAATGATGACAGGGACTTGAGATGAAAAGGAGAAGCCCTCGGTGCGGCGATCAGCATGTAACACATATTAGCGCCTACAAGACTGCACGAATACTTCACGCATTGCATCAAACACAGTGCGGTCATTGCGGACAGCGGGAAACGGATAGCGCCTACAAGACTGCGCGAATACTTCACGCATTACATCAAACACAGTGCGGTAATTGCGGACAGCGGGAAACGGATAGCGCCTACAAGACTGCGCGAATACTTCACGCATTGCGTCAAACACAGTGCTGTCTGCGAGGCGCGGCGGCGGAAGTTAAAATCATTAATCCAAATTTATGTTTGTTATCTCATAATTTTTTCGTTCATTTCTTAAGAATGCGGAAGGCCTTGTCCACACAGAGGTAGGTTTACGAAACTTAACTTTCGCGCAAAGTTCCGTGAACTTTTGCTAGTAGTGATGACAGGGCTTTCCCAAAAAATGTCTTCAACACCAGTAAACGCGTCTTATGCACCCCTCCCCCGCTGGCACGTTCATTTGATGGTTTTCATTGATGTTTCAAAACGAATGAGAAGGGGGCGGCAAGTAGGTAAGTAAATTCGGCCCTGTGCAAGCAAAAGCTATTGCTCTGATGTAAGAGGGTCTGCTTTTTGGAATCTCATACTCATGATCTTATCTCAACAATGTCGATCCTAACCTAACCCACAAGAGACAGTAACTGTTCAGTTTCAGTCATTTTCTCCCTTCGTCTTAACAATCGCACCCGTTTTAACCATTTTGTTACAGTCTTCTATATCCAGCATACAGCTCTCACCGAGCTAGTGAGCCTGTACACGGTAAATAGCTCCCATTAGTGCCACACGTAGCGTATTGCATGAGCTCCATACTAAATCGTGCGTTCCTGCATCAATTAAAATTTACGGAACCACTCGAGTCCGGTCTGAGCTTCCTACGCGATGGGAGCTTTGATCTTTTCGAGGGTGGAAAATTTTCTTTTAAATTACAGAATCAAAAGACGCAGGATATGACAATTAGAGCGTTACAGCTTTTAGCTTGGTCGTCTAAAAAAAAGGTGGAAAGGGAGACGGGAACGGAGAAAGGAAGAGGGAACGAAAAGGAAGAGGATGGAGGTGGAACAATAGGACGGGAAACTCCTCGACGGAGAGTTGCGGCGAGACGGCGGGATTCTGCACAAAGTTCTTTGGAGTAATTACAAGATAATTACCTCAATTATCCTTATAATTCACTCATTTCGACAAGAGCTCAATTAAAACTAGTTTAGATTCTTCATTGTTACTTTTATTGATAATTTGCCGCTCCTGATGTCTTGCGTTCGGCTCTTGCGAGCAGTGGCGTGGCGTGAATTGCGATATATCGATTGTTGTCATTTAAACCTATAGTAAAGAATCGATTATCCTTTTCCATATGTTTAAATGGCATAACAATCGATATATCGCAAAGCACCCCACGCTATTGCTTGCCATTAACGCACACGACGTACGATTCCGCGATGGGATAATCGTTCTTTGAGACAAAAAGGAGGGTATTATAAAAAAAGAGTCCGATCTTTATACTGCCGTGCTAAGGAAGAACGCCGTATGAGCCCTGTGTCATTGTCAAATTTCGCCTGATAAAATACGAATTTTCGAGGCAATTTGTGGAGATTTTTCTCCCAATTTTTCGAAGAATTTAATTTGCACTTTAATCAACAGTGTCTGACAATTTCAAGGAAAAAAGGTTCATAAACTTCCTTAAAAATAAATGTCTCATAAGTGGAATTTTGGCAACATCCGGCTCTTCACACGACGTTTTTCATTAGTACGGCAGTATAGCACAATCTCTTCTCTGAATTGAAGTGAATTATTACCAGGGATCAAGTCGAGATGAAGATCTTGTGCGCTTACTTGACGTAACCCGAGTATACTTCTGCTAACTCAGAGATATCTAGTCATTATTCTTTGTATACGCATTATTTGTCTGGGTTAGTTTGTAGAGATCCGATTTTTATAATTTTTGGGCTCGATTGGCAAGTAACGATGTAGGAGCTCGTTGGCGAGAGCCTAGTGCGCTCCTTAACTCAGACAAACACACACATTACAAGATGCACAAGGCGAGACGTTCCGTTGTAAACTTACGGTATCCAGTTCGCCTTCATAACATTACATATGCAATACGCACAGTTGTGAAGTTCGAATAGTTGCATCCAGGTGTTGAGCAATGAGAGATATTCTCTTGTGATACAAAACCGTGCGTTTTTCTTTAAGCCTGGCTTTGCTATATCTGAGGCAACGTTAGCCTTTTGAAGGTTACTGCCGAAGTAAAAATGAAGTAAAAATAAATCACTCTTCGGTTGTATTTGAAACGTGGACCTGTCTTCAGATTTTGAGGGAGGTCAATTTAAGTTTAAAATTGGGTTCTACATGTTACCTCTGACTGCGCTTGGAATAAAAAGTCTTGATTTAAATTTAGAAATGCGATTTTTAAGTGGGAACTCCGTGAATAGCATAATGTCATAATATATTCTCAAACCTTTGAGCGCAAATTATAATTTTAAAAGAAATGTATCTGGTCCCCTCCTTTGGTTTCATTAAGTCTGCTACAACTTGGTGATCTAATCATCTTTACCATGAGCTCTCTACCTCTCGGTTCGGCCATATAGCGGTTTGAGCATGAAAAATACCATGCATACTTTGAAACACGGGAAACTATTTTTTGCTCATTTTAGAGACAACATATATATTCGCTCCTCGACGTAAAGGCCCAACTCGATTTTCGGCCATTTTGAGTTATTCATGTATTCATAAGTACTATGAGCTGCTCTTTCGATCTAGCCTACTCCCAGGTCGATTTACCTGTAAAACAGATTACAGTGATCTTGTCTTGAGGCAAGAAAAAAATGCGACAAAAATGTGGGGGGGGGGGGAGTGAGTTCATGGTACGTGTGGACTTAAATCGCGAAAACTCAAAATCTTGGCTGATCCAAGTTTCAAGATATCGCAATTTGATGTTTCCATAGTAAATGAAAGTTTTCTACTGATTTTTATCTGATTTTTTATTTGTTCGTCTATTTTCGATCGGTTCACGTTTTTATTTTAGAAAAAATAGTATTCTCTCCCCAGGGAATAGTTTTTCCTCCCGAGAAAATAGTTTTCTCTCCCGTGAGAATACTTTTCTCTCCCGAGAGAAAATCGCAAAACAGTATTGTTCTCACTTTGAAAGGCACAGCCAAGTAATACTTTTTCAGATTTGTACAATTTGAATTGTTTTGTCCAACTGAGAAAGGCTGACTTTTCAGCCGAAACGTTTTTGTGATATTCACGCGAAAATTAGCCTTGTAAACCCGTTGTGTAATTTGTTTTATTATTGTATAACTTTTCACGGGCTGCGGAGCATCAATAATATCTCATGTTTTAGTTTATGTTGAAAATTTTTTCCAGAATCCCCCATGAAATAATCGTAATATACAACTCTCTATTGGTAATATTAATTAAAGAGATCAACGTGAGATTATGGTTTTCAAAGTGTTTTATACGGTTGTTTTCAATTCGCCTTCAGATGCGTCTGCAGCAATTGTTGTTAAGAATATGTCGTGCGTGCTGATTTCAGGTCATTACATACTCGACTCTCTGAAGGCGTTTTTTGTGCGAAAGTAGAGCACCCTGTTGGAGAATAACAGAAGATGGAATGAATCGCTCAATCCTTCTTCATTCGTTCTCCGACAGATGACACTAGTTGCGAACATAAAACGCCTTCAAAGAGTCGAGTATGTAATGAGTTCAAATCAGCACGCACAACATATTCGCAACGACAATTGCTGAAGACGCAGTAGAAGGCGAACTGTTCCGTTAAAAAAAGAGTATGATAGGTAGTCTGCACGTAACGAAAGGATATATATTCGATCGAAATGAATCGCACGAAGAATAAAAACGTGAACCGATCGACACAGATTCCATGAACAAATAAATAAAAAAGCGGATCAAAATACTGCAGAAAACTTGCATTAACGAGTACCGTGAAAATTTTAAACTGAGATATCTCAAAATTAGGATCCAGATTAGACAACATTTTGATTTTTCGCTATATATTTTAAGTTCACACATGCCACAGACTCACCCCCTGCAAACCGTTTTTGGGTATATTTTTGTCTCATTTTTTCTTTATTAAAAACCACTGGGATATATTTTGAAACACAGCAAAGGATGTAAGTGGTTTCTCACTTTGGCCATTGATATATCTCATTGTTTATTTCCTCATTGTATTTTGTGTATTATATACTGTAAATAAAGTCATGTATTCTGTTACGTGTATGTACTTAATTTTATGCGTGTTTTGTTTTGCAGGTGTGGTTTCAAAATCGACGGGCAAAATGGCGGAAGCGCGAAAAGGCCCTTGGACGAGAGGCCCCAGCTTTCATTCCTGGTGAGCAGCCACCAAGTGAGTTGACTTGAATCAATACCGGATATTTCATTGGTACTTTAATTAGACCTCATTTTGCAATTAGGAACTACAATTTTTGGCTCATCCGTAAAAACACTTATCTGCAAACGCAAACTAAATGGTACATACGTTGTTTCTTAACTGAGCTAGATATTGTAGTTCCGAATTGCAAAATTTAGTCCAGTTGAAAGTTTCTTCTATTCGAAGCTACTGTGATTAACCTCTCTACAATGAAGTTTCAAAAGTTTCATTATGAGAGGAGTGAGCCAACAGACAGAGTAAGAATTTAATCACAACAAAAGAGGCGTCCTCAGAAAAATTTCTTGTAGAATATATCGATGACCGAAGTGCGAAACCACGGTGTTTCAAAATAATTGCTCCTATTTTATTATTTAAAAGAGTAATGAGCCAAAATAGCTTGAAATATATGAAGAATACCTATTCTGCAAACACAGAAGAAAAATCGGTTGAGTTGTCAAGAGATTACGTTCACTAGTTTTTCAAAGAAAAAATAATGTGTAAAAGAAGGCTACAAAGTCGCAAACGAAGTTACATGGTTTCGCACTTTGGTCATCGATATTTGATGTATTGAAAGTTTTCAAAATCAATTCATTCCTGAGAGACGAAGAAACGAAATTGTGACACTCCATTTACTGTGTTTTATGCTCGGTCCAGCCAGTTCGCCTTCCATATTCTATCTAGGCAATGTGAGCGGTTTAGAAGCAGTAATAGTTGCTTGAGGCAGTATAGCACGTTCATTAATCATACATTAGCAAAACTCTATTTACAACGTTTTTCACTCACTGAACCAGTTCGCCTTCAATATTCTGACTATGCAATATGGGCGGCTTAGGAGCAGTAATAGTTGCTTCCAGCAGTATATCACATGAATTTAGATTAATCATTACATAAATGGATTGATGTGGTCCCTTTATAGTATTTCACATTGACTCCAACGATTCTGCGTTCGGTATTTTGACGAGACAATGTCAGTAGTTAACGTTGCGTGCGAAATTTTAGCCAGGTCCATTCGCTTTCAGTAGCAGTGATTTATTAATTGTACAGTTTCCTGCATTCCTTTTGACCGGGTCGTTGTCTGCAGCATTCTAAAAAAATGTGTGGTAACATGCTGAACCCTATACTGAAACAGGTGTTCGTTTTTTAAGCATCAGCATCGTATCCTTAGACAGGTTTTTATGCATCAAGTCATTTTCCACAAATCTCAACCCCCCCCCCTTCCAAAAAAACCACACTCTAGTAGTATTCATGGGGTTTGATCGTAATCGTATTAGTAAACCCACTTTTAACGCTCAAAAAAGTTCTGAAAAAAGATTCCCAGGCGACTACATTTTAAACGTTGGCATCATACTTAAAGCTCAATGCAGCAGATGGTTATACAAATAATAATGAGTGTTCTACATACAAAAAAATAATTGATACCTCTCCAATACAGAGGAAGTCGACTCTCAACGTAGCGTGGGATATCCCCTCCATTACGAGTTTACGACCCGAACTTTGAGAGCTTCAGTCTGAGCTAGGGAGTTGATTTTAGAGAAAACCGGGGGCACCATTGTACAATACATATATTTCTCGCGAAATTTTACACAAGGAAAAGTACCCACATCGCAAATCCCTGAAGCGCCCGCCCCACGCACAAACCAGGGACTTCAAAGGGGCTCATCGATGGAACTGTTGACTGTTGCCTTTCAACTAAAGATCGTCTTTGAAGGTAACCGATATGCTCGGGATTGCTCGGGACACAACATAGATCAGATTTTGAGATTTCAAGGAATTCCGTGCAAAAAAGTCTGAGAAATTAAATAATTGGTGCCAGTTCGAGAGCCCCAGTTTGTGCTTGGGATAAGCGTTGGTTCTACATGATGCAAGAATTCCATAGATCCACCCCTCTCGTCCACCCGCCTATAAAACGACCGCTCCATGCGGATTGCATCTTGCAAAAAGGAACCGACAGTATTACAATGTCGTTAAGATCGTGCAATTTTTTTTACCTTTCAAATATAAGCTGATCATCTAGACAAGTTTTCTGTTCACTCTCGATTAGTAACAACAAATTCAAGACGAAAAGTACCTTTGTAAATTTGATTTTTTGCATGATTTCAGTGATTCCATCGCAAAGTATGTAAGTTGCACAATCCATTGGCATGACATGTTCTTGGTTCCTTTTAGCAAATTGCAATCCATGTAAGCCATTCGTCCATGCATTCTCTGAGCCACCACCAACCTAGTTTTCAAATCGTTGATTCTCCATAATTTGATTATATTTTGCAATAAGGAACCGATATTTCTGGACCATTTTAGAAACAACATACATGCCATTGGTTTCCCTACGCAAATATTATGTGCTTTCGTGGGAGAACCAGAGATAGTGATTCCTTATTGTAAAATGCAATTTTTCGTGTATAACTATAGTTAGGCAGCAGCCACCCGTCTTTTTTTTTTTTTTTCCTTTTTTGTCGTCAATTTTTTAGGGGGAGTTTTTCAGGATTGGGCCGGAGTGGCCACCGCCACCTGGAATCCAATTTTTTCCTGTAAATTCTCATTCGATTTGTGCACGTTACTAACTCAATTTCCTCGTTTGTTCACAGACTTTCCAGCGGAACTGGGCCTGCACCCCCACCTGGGGAACCTGGGGATGCCCGGATTCCCGGCGGAGCCCTTCTGGCCGGCGCTCGGGTTCTCGCCTGCCGTCATGTTCGGGCTCGGCCTCCCGTGGACCAACCACTCCCCCCTCACCAAGAGCGTCCCCCTCCAGTCCCTCCTCTCGCAGTACATGCTCGGCGGCGGCGGGGGAGGGGGAGGGGGCGGAGTCCCGGTCGCCACCAACCTCAAGATGGAGTCCCGCTCCCGGTCCCCCTCGCCCTCCGCCTCCCCCTCCCCGCTCCCCCTGACGCCCCCCCC